TCCTGGAGCAGCAAGGGGGCTTCCTCGGGTGCAGCCGCAGTGTCGCGCTGTAGCTCGTCTGGATTTCCCGAAAGGTGGAGTTTCTTCAGGACGTCGGCCCCATCGCATGCTCTGAAGGTCGATTTAGCCCCTTCCCCGTGCAAGGCTGTATTCTGGTATCCGTCTGGTAGAAGTGGGGGACAGTCCTCTGTGGTGAAGTTGCAATTTATTGCAGTTTATTGTGATTGTGAAAATTCAGGAGAAAGAGAATTTCACATAATTTCATCATCTGAAGATACTATTTTCAAAAAACAACTTCAGCCAAGCAAATTTGAAGATCTGTTGGCTTTATTCAATAATTCACAATCAGGCGGCATCTCAACTAGCAAATAGAAGGGAGCTCTGAGGAGCTGTACAAGATGGAGGGGTTTCGTAGGCAGAGGTGGGGGGGCGGACAAGGAAGTTATTAGCAAAACAGAAGAAAGGATTGTTTCGGACTAAATCACCTTCCCTTACTGGGGAGGGTGGGGGTCCTAGCATAGGGCTGCCTCACTAGTGTGCACCAGGAAATTCCAGCTTTGGTTTAAAATTTCCTGGTGGCGGCTGGAACTGCAGTTGGTAGGTGTTAAGCCTTGGTGAAGCTGAGCAGAAGTGACTTCATTTGGGGCTGCTTGTTTCTTTTTAACAATATTAATACATATTTACAGAGATGCAAATTATATGTGAACCTATTTTTTTTTTCATTTCAGACTTGTGAGGTAATATGATATACTGCAGAAAAAATAATTTATAATTGAGACCAATTTGTGTGTATATAATTTATAAAGTGTGTATTATGTACATACACTTATCTTTTTAGCTAATATAGATAATTTTGCTTTTCTCTTATTCTTTTTAACTTAACCAAATCATGGACAATTTTTCAGGTCAATAAGTATGAACATTCATCATCATTTTGAGCATCTGCAATTTTGGACCATGTGGCATCTGTATTTTTTATTGTAAGCCTCCTCAGATTCTTCTTTTTCACTAGGAAAATTTTAAAAAATCAATAAGGGCTAAAAATCCTTAAGGATTATAAGAATCAATCAAAACCCCTTTTAGCTGTTTCTTTAATGCTTAATTTTAAATGGATCTTTTTAAGATCTCCTACAATAATTTATTAAACTAATTTCAATTTTTCTTTACTATGTTTCATTTTTCTTAAATGGGCTTCCCTTTTGTCTATAGTCTTTATGGATCAAGTAGTAAGAAAATAATTTCTTCTTGATTCTAAAGAAGACAGGCTTTAGTGGAGTTCTCATCTGCTCTCTGTTTCTGGAGCTCTTTCCTCAAAGTTAACAACAGAGCAGAGAAGTCTGCTACAAGCAGCCACAAAACTAAAGCAGCCATCGGAATACGAATTTCTTTAGGTCTTACGTATAAATTTGTATCATTCCTGAAATCCCATTTCATATAAAAGAGATATCAAAAGTGATCACAAAATAGCAAAGTACAAATACATGCCCAGTTATGAAGATTTATAAAATATTCAAAATTAAGTACACCTGTGAAAGGTGTGCTTACTAGGGAATCCTCCAGGAGATATTTCTGTCAATGAGCTATTTTTACTAAAGCTTCAATAAAATTATTAAGATGAGGTTTAGATTGAAGTTGGTTTTCTTCTCTTTTTTTTTTTGATTTCTCTTTAACAAGCATCAATATTCCCTTTCTGAACTTTTTTTTTTAATTTTCTTGTTTATTCGTCCCCCTAGAATTTAAGCTCCCTGAGAACACGGGTAAATACCTTGCGCATGGTGAACCTGCAGGACATGTTCGTTGAATAAACACATGTTTACAGAACCCCAGCGCCACCTAAAAGTTAGTGTTGGCTGTCGTGAACGCTTTTGTTGCTAGCCCAGTGCTCATGAATGACTCCAGATCTGGCATCCGTGGCGATTTCCCTCTTGCCCGTGATTCCCTACCCTTTCGGTTTTGAGTGAGCTTCGTGCTGACCCACCTGAAAGACCGTTGAATAGTTCAGTCACAAGTGCGTGTTGGAAATGCACAGAGACGTCCCAGAGTTGTGGGTTCTTAGACATTCTGAGTCATGCGCTTTTAACCTGTTACTTCGAAAATGTCATTCTGGAAAAAACTCTATTTTTTGATATCAAATTATATTGATAGGATATTGTTTCACTTCAGACTTATAAGGTGCAAAAGAAGTCAGACACCTAGCAAAGTGACTGTCCGTCTGGGCTTGTAACCACAGTCCACGCTCCGAGCCACTGGCTGCCCTGTTCCTTGCGTGGGCGCCTCGACTGCCACCCACTGTGGAAGAGAAATTAATGAATCGTCCTCAACATGCTTAAATTTTCCTTGGCAGAAGAGTTCCACTAAATGAAAATTCCAGGTAGAGGGAATCGGAAGCAAGTTTTCCTTATCCCAGCAAATTCACTGGGGTCATTAATTCCCTCAGGAAAATACCACGTTCCCTGCATGCAGTGGGCTCGACATCAGACATTCACTTAACAGAAATCATTCGACTTCTAAGTTGGAGGAAGAGATAGAGCTTACATTTCTAAATCTGTACATATGATAAAAAGTCCAGAAATACATTATAGGTAACATTTTTCTTTCAGAAACTTTCCATAAAGCAAAAAAGCCGGAGTTGTTTTTTTTTTTAAATAAATAAATGTCAGTAGATTATCTTATGCAAACTTCTCAAGTTTGAGAAGCACTAGGCAAAACAAAAGAAAAAGCAGAAGGAACATTTATGCACAGATGTATGAACATTTGAGCTCTTCTTCGAATTAACTTTAAAAATTTTTTTAACAATTGAAGCACCATCAGTTTACAATGCTGAACTAGTTTCTGGTGTGCAGCATAGTCACACACACACACACACACACACACACACACACACACACACACCTATAGGTACATAGTTCTTTTAAAGATCAGGTAGGAAATAAATAGAGAAGAAGAAAACAAAAAAAATTAATAAAACCAAGAGCTCATTTTTTGAAAGAGTGAGCAAAATTGACAGATCTCTGGCCAAGCTCGCCAAAAAGAAGAGGGGACTCAAATACACAAAATAAGAAATGAAAGAGGAGAAATTACAGCCAATACCACAGAAATACAAAAACTCCATACAGGATACTGTGAGCAATTATATAGAAAAAAGGTTTTAGAAACATACATCCACCAAAACTGAATCAAGAGGAAGCATAACTTTCAAATCATAGTGATGCTTGGGGAGTGGACGGTTCCGAAGGGTCGCAGCTTGGTAACTCCATTCAGTCCCACTGTAAACTTGCTCACACAGCTGCTGCTTCCCATTGTGTGCGTTTTAATTCACCCTGACTTTTCAACCCTGCTCAGTGAACTCCTTAGATAAAAGTTTTTTAAAAAATTAAAAACACATAAGCCTCTGCAACTTTATAATCTGTTAATAAATTTGTTGTAATGATCAAATCAAACAGTTCAATTTCCAGAAAGGCTTATGAAAGGTTGAGAATTTAGAAGTAAAGGAGTAAATGAAATGTTTCTATGTTATGACTTCAGGGTAGAAGATAAAATAAATGTTTTTCTTCTAAGATGCTTACATTCTTAGGGAAATCAGATGTAATACCCAGACCATGATGGAACAATTATAAGAAAAATATTGAAGCAAGTGTGTGATACTACAGTAATGCAAGAAATAGGTACTGTTTGTTGAACACCTACTGTCCGGTAGTCCCAAGCTTGGTGATTTTTGAAAAGCTCCCGGGGAAAGTCAACATGCAGCAGTTTGGAATCTAGTTTACTTTGGGTTCTGAAGCATCCAAGGGGCATAATGGGTGGAATATTTTTGGAAGATAAAGTGGGTGAGTGAGCATGTGTGTGCATGTGTGTGTGTGCACGTGTGTGTGGGCATGACTCCAGGACTGGCTTAGAGGCTCAGAGGCTGCTGGTTGATGTGTGGTTTGGGATTAGACTTGGTGTTACTTGTGGAAATGAGTGGTAAGCAGTAAATCTGGGAAAGATTAGAAAAAAAGAAGAAACAACAGATCTCAGTGGTTGAGTTAGGAATATTGAAGGAGGAAGAAGAATCACAACCCTGTCTGGACTTGTGGGACGTTTTTGTCCCTGTCAAGATTAGGCTGTGCTTTGGCGTCACACAGAATACATTAGGTCTGGGGCATGTGGTGCACTGGTGGTAGTGGTGAGGCGGGGCGTGATTGCTAAACAAGATGCGGGACAGCAGCAGCAGTACGGGAAAGGCCGCCCCGCGCTGAGGGGCTGCACGGGTCTCCAGGCGAGGGGCAGCATCACGCGTCTTCCCCGTGTCACAGCCGGTGGACCTACAGCGGTGTCTTGGCCGGTTTGTTTCTTACACCTTGTTGGTTACACAGGCTCACTCTTGCCACGTAGCCAGCCTCGCAGGGAGAGCCCTTCAGAGGGGCTCACCTGGACCTGACCAGTCCATCAGTCTCATTTTGCCAGTGAACAATGCTGACATGCTGGTACAAACAGCACCTCCCCCCGCCAACTCCTGGGACCCCGCTACAAAGCAGCACTATGAATAGGTGTGTTTCCTGGGGTCCCATGCAGGCACGTGTCTTATTTCAGCAAACTGGGAATGCTGGCAACAGCACAGCACAAGTGTTGGTGACCATTGGAGATACCCGTGCGGGTTTTGTCATGTAGAATATTGCAAATATCACAAGCCCTCTTCTCGGTACATGTATTTGATAAATCAGACTGTAGCCCTATTTGCAGGCACTGCCATTTTAGGATCTCCAAAAAAGTCATCTCGAAAATGACCAGCAAGCTGTTGTGCAATTTCATGTCCCTTCAGAATTAATGTGTGTGTCTAGCTCGAAATTTACTGTGTTTAACTTTTACTGTACAGCATTTTAAAACCGAGTTCTGAGATTTCACAAGAGGAATCATTACAGACAGATTTCTAGTTTATTGAGAGTGAATGACATGTTCTGTGTTTCACAAACTACTCTGAGTTTCTGACTCTTCTTCTCCCTTCTTTCTCCATCCCCCAGATGAGTCGGCTCCTAAGGAAGTCAGCAGGGTGAGTAATGCAAACGTCACTTCTGTGACCACAACACAGGAAATAAATTCTCCTGTATATTTTCAGCCCTCTAACGTTAAAGTGTCAGAAAAAACATGACGGAAACCGCGCCCTCCCCAGAGGATTGCTCATTACGAGTCTGGAGTAAAGTCAGTAGGGAGAAAGGATGCTAATTGGAGGCCTCACTCCGAATACAGCTCCCAGATACATTCCATTTGGCCTGCACGTGCCTTTGGAGTATTCTGAATTTGTTGCCAGCACTTAGAAATTGAGAGAGCGCAAATTAAGATTGAATTTCTGGCCTCTCTGGAAAAACCGACACCAGGTTCTCACGGCGGGAGCCTTCACGCACCCGCGCTGCCTGGGGCCCTGCCTTTCCTTTCTTGCACCTTCTTTGTGGGAGAACGGAAGGCGGCTACTCGTGAACTGAGGGCATGGCAGCCTTCAGGACGTTTATAAATATTAAGTGCACGGGTTCATGTCCAACAGAGACACTTAGTGGTAAAGTTCAGCGGCTTACAGCAGCGGGGCACGAGTGTGGAAGGCGTTGCAGCACAGCGCGCTCAGTGCCGCAAGCCTGTGACTACGTGATTACACGCGGAAAACTCAGCGTTACCTGTCCTGCTCACAGACACAGGCCTTAAAATAGGGGTTACATACTGAAAAAAATCTACTGAATAATTCAGTCAAGTCTGAATTGTATCTGATGCAACCTTATGTATCATAAGATATAAACTGTAGCGCTGTTAACCAAGTCACGTATCCAGATGTATGCCCCTGAAGAGAGGAGGGTCTGAATGGCCAGGACCACTGGTGGAGACTGGGCAGAATTTCCTCTGTCCGTAGCAGCCTGACAGACACTTCAGGTTTCTGTAAGTCTCAGGGTTTTACTGAGTGCCTGCACTGTCACCTTCCCATCTGCAGAGCTCACAGAAAGTTCCCAAGTCTAAGATCTTCAAGGGATACTGGGGACAGAAGGATCTGCCTGAAATTTTCACAGCTGCTGGGAGCAGCAGAAGTGGCTACAAAGCAGTGTTTGAGGATGACAAGAGGGTTGTCACGAGTGGACTTGGGTGGAGGCCGAAGCACTGGGGTGTTGATACCGGCAAAGCCGCTGTCTCAGGCCTCCGAAGCCCCATGTGTCTGTAAACCAAAGACAAGAAGGGAAAACTACAACTTACTCATCAATACGCTGCTTTTTTTTCTTTAACCCAGACTAACTTTGTAGGGAATCCCTAACCTCAGTTTAACCTTTACAACCCTCAAAAGATTTTAGACATTGTTGTTTTTGAAGGAGGTGGGGAAAGAGATGCCCCCAGGAGGTGCCATCAGCCCAGGCGTTTTCCTGACAGCGTGTTCTGTTGACCACAAAGATTAGAGCCACACCCCTGGTAACATGCTTGTGTCAGCATTAACTCTATTCACCTGTTTGGTGGAACACGCTCTCCTCACCACCAGGGTCCCCAGTGGAAAGATCTTGTATCATAGTGTCATAAGTGGTTTTGTTTTTGCTGACCACCCCTTCAAATATAAGCTGAGTTCTGTTTGGGGAGAAGAACTGTACAAAGAGTAGGCTTTGTAATTGAATGCATTTCCATGTATTTTAGTTACGCAAAATGCTGCCACGACACATCTTGGATTCCGACTGCCACATACTGTCTCTAAGGCCATTAGAAAGGATAATCAACTGCACATGACTTTTCTCTGCTATTATTTTATAAGGTTTTCTTATTTTATGCCAAATTTGGAGAAAGTGCATCCCCATTTGAGAAATGCTCAGTACGTGAGCTGATGGCCTAGAATAGGGTCGGTTGGTAGGACCTTTTACAGTTTTGTTTTGTTTTGTTTGTGAATATACCCCATACCTTGGTCAATGCTCGTTCAACTGGCACTCAGAATTTGCTTCATGAAACAGTATACCATTGTTTTAAGTGAAAATTAAGATTTAGAAATACCCAGTGTGACCTTCTGGTAGGTGGTGACTGGCACATCCAATGTCAAAAAAGCGTGCTCCTTAGTGAGGCAGACTGAGACCCCTCCAGGCAGTTCTGATTATCGTGGGGGACTTTCTCACTTAGAGCTAAGCAGCCTTGCTTTAACTGCTGTCTACTAGCGTTGTTTTGACTTTTGTAGCAACTCAAAAAAGGCTACCCACCTACTCCGCGTGAGAGCTCTTTGAAGGGGGAGATTGCATTCTGTCTTTCCCAGTGAAACATACTCACAAAATAATTTCTTCCTGTATGCCTCCTTAGGATTTGGGTTGACATTCTCTGAACAAAGTATACAGTACCAATATATTTTTAGAAGGTGACCTCTGTGACATGATATTATAGACCAGCTTTGGCTTGAACCTGATAAGATGAGGTGGGCCAGAGAGCCCTTGTAAACTGTGCATCTGTGGAACAGTCCAAGGGAGAACTGGAGATACAGATATAGCAGATGTGTCTGGGGTCTGTGGCATGTAGACACCGAACGCTGGGCTCCCCAGCTGTCCAGCGGTGGGGAGAACGTGGACAAGGCAGCTGAGGAGACTCAGGAGGAGAAATCGGTGAAGGGGGAGGAAAACCGAGCAAGCTCCTTTGTCAGCAGGTTTTCATTTATAATTTTACCTACAGGACTATACAGCTACTTCATTTATTTTTTATTTTTGTCTTTCTGGGGGGTGGTAATTAGGTTTATTTATGTGTTTTTAATGGGGGTGCTGGGGATTGACCCCAGGACCTCATGCATGCTAAGCACACACTCTGCCACTGAGCTGTGCCCTCCCCCTGTACATTTATTTAAGCTTCATTTCGTCTTGTTTTGACCCAACCCAACCTCTTGAGCGAAGTCTCAGTCTTACTTCTCTCATCTAACACATTAGTTCCCTGTTTTGAGGCCACACATTTGAGTAGTTTTCCCAAGTTGTTTTCCTATGCCCTTTTTTCAGTGATTTATTAAAAAATAAATAGGACAATGCTATACATAGAAACTTCACCTATAAGAATAATACGAGGTACTGTGTCAACGCCTTGTTAAAATCAGCATACCTTGGCCAGCCTGTTGTTCTTCCAGTCAGACACCATCGTTCAGTCATCATATGGTAATTAAGCCCCCGCTCTTCTAGGCTCATCAGGGAAGAACCTAGACAGAAATGCTGCCCTCACAGCATCAGCATCAGTGTGAAGTGGAGTCAATAAACAGTACATCAGTAACACGCACCCTGGGTTCAGTGGCAGTGAGTGCTGTAGAGACAAGGCAGGGCAGAGGATATGGTGCTGGGGTGCGAGTGTGCAGCCAGGGATGGTTTATCAGGAGCAGAGGAAAGACCGAGGCAGGGTGAAGGAGGGAGCCACGCTGAGAACTGCGGGAAAAGCATTCCAGGCAGACAGTATAGACAGGAATGTTCAAGGCACAGAAGGAGGTCCTCTGGGCATGAACTGAATGAATGAAAGGAAGAGCCCTGGGCAGAGAGCTCGGGGCGGGGGAGTGCTAGAGGGACGTGGCGTCAGTTGTTGGTCTGTCATCTGGTCAGCACAAGTAGTCCTTTCTCCTGTTTTACTATTATTGGTGGTGTTAAAGTGGTTCCAGCTTATAAATCACAAAGAGTTCTGACAAGAAAAGGGAGAGAAAGCATCCAGGTAAGAAGACTATGTGGAGGCTGAGTGCTAGAATTAGACAGACTTCAGCCAGGTCTAGAATTCTTGGGTAACGTCTTTGCCCCTCGAAATGCTGTAAGATGTGTTTCGTTGTATTTTAATTTTGTTGGTGAATGTTGCTTTTTTCATCTCTGAATATCTCTAAAACTCTGTCTTCTGCCCTTGGAAGTTACTGTTTTTCCCAGGGTGTACGTGTTTTAACTTGCTGACTAACCTGGCATGTAGTGAGCTTTCTCAGCCATTTTTAACGTCTTTTTTTAGTTCAGAATACTTTTGTCTATTTGTTTCTTGGTGCATCAGCTCTCTCTCATTTGCTTCATTCTCTTCAAGATTATCAGGTATCCACGTCTTTCATCCTCTGTCAGTTTTTTTTTTTAACCATGCATTCTGGAAGGACCACTCAGACTAACTGTGCGTCCCTGGCGTGAGCGTGTGCAGCACAGCTGCTCTGCACCGTCTCTAACTCTGCTTAAATTCTTGGCTCTGTTTCATGAACGTTACTTCTGTACTTTGGGGCTTTCTCTCCACTTCAGTCTGTCTTATGATCTTACTGATAATTCTCATTGTTAATTCTTTCATTTTCTTGAGAGTGCAAAGCAGATGCTGCCCTAAAAGTCACTTTGCATATATCCTTCCTTCTAAGACATATAAAAATAGCTTTATCCTGGGTCTGCTAGTATAATACAATGCTAATACCTTGGGTATTTGGGTAAGTTTTTCTTTTTTAATGTCACTATGTATGTTGAGGGGTTATTTTTTAGATTTTTTTTAACGTTTATTTATCCTTGAATAATGTTAGTTTTGGCCTGCCAGGCTTCTTCCTAGGTTTCTCCTAGATTGCAGGCTGTTCAGTTAAGGACGGCAACAAAGTCATAAATGTGTTTTCTTTTTGCCATAGGTGTTGCCGCCAGCTGCTTTTTTCTTGTTTATCACTTTCCCCCAGCTAGAATGTAAATTCCGTGAGAGTTAGAGCCTTACCTGGAACCTGTTATGGTGCTTGACACATTGCTGAGGAGCTATTAGTTCAGCAAGACTTATTTACATACTGACATTCAGAAGTATATCCACTGGGCAAAGCACTCAAATGCATCTTCTGTTTCCTTAGCTTTCTCACTGTTCATCTGCTCCTGATGACTTTTTTTCTACTAGCAATTTTAAAGTTATCAGGAATGTCAGTCAATTATTTAAAGCTATTTTAGCTCATGGACTCCTTTTTCCTAAATTAAATTGTTCTTATGAAAAGCCCTTTCATCTTGTGGGCCTTTTGCCCTAAACTAAATCAGGAGCTATTTTGAAGGGGTTCCCATTAGTCAAATCTGGGACAATTTGAGCATTAAAATGCATGTATAATAATATTAATTA